AAAAGTGGGAGCAATTCAATTGCAAGATAGATAGATAGATAGTAGAGAGATAGTGAAGAATGTGGAAGATGGGGAATTTCAACGCAACGAGGAAAAAGACACCAAGAAAATATAAAAGAAAATGGGGGTTGTGGACAGTGTGTAGTCGCACGGCTGGCGGTGGGGCTTTGGCTGACTTTGTTTGACAAAAAGAGCAAAACAATAGGGGACCCTATGTTGGCTTTATCCATTCATTATTATTATTATTATTATGCATTTTCTTGCATCTTTTATTATTTGGGAGACAAATTAGTATTTTAGGAGAAAAAATGTGATTAATATGTATTGAATTAAAATGAGGCCTTGAACAATTTTGCATTGGTTCTTTTCATATTTGCATAGAGGTATTTCTATTATTTATTTATATTTTTACACCCCCACCCTTATATGTGTGCGTGTATATATATATATATATATATATATGCGCGCTCAAATGAGAATGAAGCACAATGAAAGAAATAAGAATAAATTTGGATCATTGGATTTATCCCATCAATGACTATGATCAAGTCAAATTTTAATAATAATCGTCAATCACTAATGGCATTATAGTAAATAAGGGTGGATACCATGACCAAATGCGTAAATTTATACACAAATTAAGGGTAATATAGTCAACATGTATAATTAATAATACCCACCCACCAACTCAATGGGCCCCACCATAACCCCTAAATATTAAACCACCCCGCGTCCCTATTTCACTCACACACATTCCAAAGTGCAAACACACTTTCAACTTTGTTCACCCGCCCACCGCCACCGTCCCCGCCGAAGCGACCATCTCCTCCGCCCACTGCCACCGTCACCGCCGACGCGACCATACCCCGATGGACCCTATCACGAACGAACATCAACCGCCGTCATACACTCACACACACTGCACGGTGCACGCCTGCCGACCATCTGCTCACGCCGACGCCGGTTTCTGCAAGCTCTGTCAGTCGCCGCCGATCGCAGCCAGAAGATAACGGCGACACAGTCATCGAAGCCTTACCAGACCGCCGCGGCGATTCTCTTCCCGGCAATCGAACGAACGCGAGAAGGAGGCTCCAATGGAGAGGCCGGCGTGTCGTCCACAATTCATATTCGCCGCTGCATCCTCTACGACGTCGCGCCGCTGCCGATGTTTGTACCGTTTTTTTCGTGATTTTTCTTATTGTTCTGTCGTTATTT